TCGAGGAGTACTTCTCATTGATAAGGTCTTGTAGTCCCAGTAGGAATCAAAAGAACCAAAATTAGATCACAGACTATCCTATTTTTAAAATTTTTTTTTTAAACTGGGCATCAAACTCAGGTCCTTGTGCTGGTGAGGCAGGCAGCAGAACCCCTGAGCTAAATCCCCGGCCAGACTATCCTATTTAAATGAGGATCAATAGTCATAGTTTGTCAAAGGCTGTTAATAAATGAACTCCATGAAGGCATAAGCAAATACAGTGTAGTAAAAGATTCAGGAATGCCAACTGCAATATTGAATCTCTCTTGGGCCATTTACAAAAATAACTAAATGGCTTGCAAATGCATATTAAGGAGCTTATGGTAGTTATAACATGCATAATTTGTGCATATGTGTATATATGAATACATATTTTCACCTAACTCTGCCTCATCTCCCACCACTCTCTTCACCTTCCTCTGTACTCCAGCTCTGCTAGCCTTCTCTCAGATGTATCATGCTCCTTCCTTACTCAGCATTCTCATCTTCTCTTCTTTTGCCTGGCTCTCTTCCCCTTTTACCAGATAACTACTATTTAGGTTTAAGTTTCTTCCACATGTAATTACCTCTTTACAGCTTCACAGAAGCTTGCAGGCTTCCTTCGTTTTCCTACTTGTGGCCAATTGTAATATCTGGATCTTAAATAAACAATAAATTCCAAGAAAAATGGGATCTATTATTTTTGGTTTTCTTTCTTTCATAATTGTGTTCCAAGTGCCAGTACCTAGCCATAGAAATAGCTCAATTAATATTTGTTGAATGACTAAATGAAGGTAGTGATTAGGGTGTTATTCTGGACATTTTATAAAATCCACTGTTGTGCAATGACTTGAGGTCCAAAAGGGAGATCTCTTTTTGATATGAAGCATGACTGAAAGTGTTTAAATTTTTAAAATGTAAAAGACAGTGCAACAACCCCCCTTCACAGTGCTCCACACTTGCTATGTACACACTTATCCTGTTGTTTTTGCTATTTTCTAAAGTAGTTCTGAAGGTTCTCTTTTATGATTGTCTTTAGTTGCACTGTTGTAGTTGCCTCAGTATCCTGAATTGATTCAAAACATTTATCTTTCATGGTCATTTTGACTTTGAGGAAGAGCCAGAAGCTGCATGGTGCCAAATCTGGTAAACAAGCTGATTTTGAGGATACTCCATGTTTTTATGATTCGGTGTTTCCTTTAGATGGCATTTGGCAGCAGCATTCACCATAATTTTGATGAAACCTTGTAAAGATACTCATGAAAGAGAACTTTCTGAACTGTCCAGAAAGTTGCAAGAATAATGGCATGTGTTCAAAGCAAGAAAGAGAGGGATTAATGGCAATGTCTTGCACTGTAATCATTTTTCAACATATATTTTTGTCATCTCTTATACATTATTGCTTGCGTTTATCTTCTGAAAGCAAATGAAAAACTCATGACTTTCCCTGAGAATATTTTGGTGATCAGAAAAGTAACCAGAAAAAATTTCAACCTGGAATTCAGGAGAAGAGAGGAGCTAGATGATGACTCTCTTGCCTATTCAAGCTGGAGAGGGAAGTGACTGTTGACATTTAGTTGTGTATCACGAAAACCTCACGGACCATGACAAGGAGGGATCTCCTAACCAAGTGGCAAATATCAGGCTTCATGAGCCTGCAGTGATTTCATAGAGACCTGGAACATGATATAATTTCCTTTACAAATAAGGTGTGCTATTATTTTAATTGAATGCAATGTGGTCATAGTACCACACCTCTTGAGAGAAGGTCCTGGTCTTAGGAGTAGGATGGAAAGGCCAACAAGGATGGACTAAATTGAATGACTAGTTAGTTACACCCATAGGTCTAAGGGAAAGTGTTACTATTGTCAAGGTATATGGCTGATTTGCTGTATGTTACACATTGTGAAAGACTAGCTCACTACGCCCTAGCTCCTCATAAGTAGACCCTATCAGGAATAGTACTGCTCAAAAGTGGACAGTGTGGGCTGAGGATTTAGCTTAGGGGTGCCATGCCTGTCTCTCAAGCACAAGGTCCTGAGTTCAATCCCCAGTACCAAGAAAAAAAAAAGTGTAGCGTATACTATTAACATATAAATTAGTCATTCATAGAAAAATGGGTGAATATTGAGGTTATACTCTTGAATGAAATAAATAAGTCATACATGTATAAATACCAAATAGTTTCTCTGGTATGAAAAACTATAATTGTAAATAAGATCCTAATGGTATAATTGACAATGTGTAATAGGAAGAAAAGGGCTAAAGGTGTAGGGGAAGTGCGTAGGGGAAAGGAAATAAGGGAAAAGAAAAAAATATGAGAAAATGAAAAATGGAAATAAAGTTTTTTAAATAGGCAAGGGAGGAAGGGGTGAAGGGAGGGCACGGGTATGGGGAAAAAATGAGAACCAAGACCTGTCATGTAAAGGTACAAAAAGCCCAATGATGAATGTAACTGTACTGTCTACCTAAAATGTACCAATAAACTCAATGAGAAAAAAAACAAACAAAAAACATATAAGCATAATTTCATTTTCCTTCTCACAGAACAGTAAATTTGAGAAATACTGAATCTACTCCCTTCTTCTTGGAAAGTCAAAAGGTGAAACCACTGATGATTTTGACAAATCCTGCAGTAAAGAAAGTTCAACTCATTTGACCATGAAAACTAATTTTTCAAAAAGACATATGTGTCAGTCAGGATAATCTTAGTAAAGCTGTTGTTCCAAACAACCTCTAAACCTCAATGGCTTCAAATAACAAAGTCTATTTTTCCTTCACGTTTTGTATCTATTATTGGTTAACTGGAGAACCTGTGCCACACAGTCTTTCTTCTGGGTGTCAAAGCAGCTGTCATGTAAGCATTTGAGTTGTTCCATCAAGAAGTCTGAGTAACTTTCCAAAAGAATCATTTCATAGTGATATATGCACACCTATGTTTATAGCAGCACAGTTTGTAATAGCTAAAACTTGGAAACAGCCCATTTGCCCATCAGTTGGAAACTAGATAAAGAAGATACGGTTTTTCTATAAAATGGAATATTACTCAGCCATAAAGAATGAGAAATCAGATTCATTCAAAGGAAAATGGATACATATTGAGAATATACTCTTAAGTGAAATAAATAAGTCACACATGTGTAAATACCGAATAGTTTCTCTGGTGTGAATAAACTGTAATAGTACAGAAGATTCTAATGAGATAATTGACATTGTGAAATGGGAAGAAAAGGTGTAGGGAAGGTGGGATGGGTAGGGGAAGGGTAATAAGGGAAAAGAAAAAAATGTGAGAAAATTAAAAGATGGATATAAAGTGTTTGTAAATGGGGAGGGGAGGAGGGGGTGAAGGGAGGGCAGGAACAAGGGGAAAAAATGAGACCCAAGACTTGTCATGTAGAGGTACAAGATCCCATAATGAATGCAACTGTACTATATACCTAAAATGTAACAAAAAATTCAATTTTAAAAAAAAAGAAGTCTCACCTTCTCACCTCAGAGTCACACATAACTTTGGAATTTGGGCTTGTAATTCATTGACCAGAACTAGCTACATGGTCTTTCCCAACACCAAGGGGCTAACGAAGTACTATCCTACCCTGCACCTGGAAGGCAGACAGCCCGAAAGTGTATGAATGCCACTAAGGACAAACTAATCCTGATAACTCAACTGAACACTCTGAACACTGATATTCATTACAGTGCAGTTGGGACCCACTGCTGTTCATTAATCTTAATAACAAGGATTGATAGTTACTATTCAAGAATTTTTAGCATCTGTTACTAAAGTTACACGACCACACTCAGAACTGAAAGGCTGTTTTTTCAAAACATTTATTGGGGGAGGTGTTTTGGAAGATATTATGAAAAAAATTTCTTTTCACTTATAATCTCCAGTGGATTTTCCACAACAGATAAGAAAATGATTTTCCAGCAGTTCCTCATTGCCTCTCTCAAATACAAATGTTATGTAACAAAAAATATGGATAGTGTCATAACATAGCCTATTTCTAGACTGCTAGAGAGAGGTACTGTGTATCATAAATGACTAGCTATAGTATCTTCTGAACAGGTGTATACAGAGTTAATAATATGATCAGATAAATCTCATAATAATAGCAATGAAGTTGACATAGGACACATCTAAAGAGAAAAAAATCAAATGTATTTTGTGCTCCTATCTTAACCTCTGAAAATTAATTCTGATGAAGTCTACTGGATCAAATTATCTGTCTTGGCATCTTGTTTGATAGTTGGTCATAAGTGTATCACATAACCACAATACAAAAAAAAGCAATAGTAAGGCTCAGAAATAAATAGTTTCTCAGATGTTATCACCTGCACACAAAGCACAATAAAGGTGCTTATCAAAGGTCATTCAAGTCTTTAATTCACTGTTTCTGTGAGAAAATGTGTTAAATTCATATCATTTCCTCAGCCACTTCCAAACTCATCTCCTGTTCTTTTTCCTTTCTACAACCATAACTAAATAATCTTATACATATAAAATGATTTGAGCAGTACTTAGAACATAGTGGTCACTAAGTCTTGGTTATTACCACTACGTTATGTCTTACAAGTGACGCTTTATTGTGTCACATGCCTGCAGAGGCTCTAAAGTGTGATTTGCTTTAGCAAATATGATCCAGTGCTCTTAGGAGGGAGAACGTCTAATATCCAAGGCATCCTCTGCACTACATTTTTCTTATTTAAGACAGAAAAGGAGAATGACCTTAGAAGTGATCAAGAACATTTATGTCTACCTTTACATAAATGTCCCCATATTATTGCTTTAAATAGTAAATGTTGAGAACAAATTAAAAATAATTTTTGATAACGGATACAAAGATACACTGATTAAAATAGCTTTGCCTTCACACTGCATATCTCCAGACTGTGGCAAATTTATTGAAACATTATTGTAGCATTTCGATAAATATTTTATTTTTATAATAATGAATCTGAGAGCTCTAATATCTTTTGCTTCAGCTTACTCCATCCACATTTTCTTCATTCCATTCAATTAATGCATCTTCTTCGTGTCTGGGTATTTCTGCTGGTGCCTGGTCAAGAGAAGTTGAATCTTTGTATTTCATAGAACTCATGTCAGAGTGCTTCTCAGTCATAGAAGTCTTTGCCCCACAGAATGCTTTCACTGCCACCCTGAGGGAAAAAAGAACAAAAATAGGAAATAAAAACAAAAACTGATGAGATTCATATTTACTACAAATAATGTAAATGTATTTACATATTTATATATATTTACCTTCATATCTACATTATATATATTATATATAACATATATAATAGAATTGCCTTTTATCTACAATTCACTTTTAGTTTGTGATGTATCTGCTTCATTATGATAATAAATGAGCCCTTAGACTTACCAAGGTGTTATTCTCATATAGACATTCTATTTTCATAACAAGCAACTGGTACATTTTAATAACCAAATTTTATCTTTGTGAGAACTACAACTGGAAAACACAAATATGCACTTAATAAAACATGTTTTATTTTAGCAATGGCTTTGTAACATAAAAATTTCACTTAAAAGCTCTCTTTTAAAAACCCATGAGATTGTTTCTAAAAGCATCCACTTGCCGGGGATTTAGCTCTATGGCTCCATGGCTATCTCACAAGTGTAAGGTCCTTAGTTTGATCCCTGGTACTGGGAATAGAAAATGGCATCCACTGAGTGTGGCAGTACATGCTTATAACCCCAGCACTCTGGGAAACTGAGGCAGGAGGATTGAAAGTTCAAGCCTAGTCTAGGCAACTTAGTGACTTAACAAGACCCTATCTCAAAATAAAAATTAAATTAAATTTAAAAGGGGGCTGAAGGTGTCGCTTAGTGTGAAGGCCAGGGTTCGATTTCTAGTACCATGAGAAATAGGAAAGAAGAAAGGAGGGAGGCAGGGAGGGAGGGAGGGAAGGAATGAAGGAAGGAAGGAAGGAAGGAAGGGAAAGAAAAGAGAGGAGGGGAGGAGAGAGGAGAGGGAAGAAAGGAAGGAAGGAAGGAGGGAGGGAAGGAGGGAGGGAAGGAAAGAAAGAAAGAAAGAAAGAAAGAAAGAAAGAAAGAAAGAAAGAAAGAAAGAAAGAAAGAAAGAAAGAAAGAAA